GGACGTGGTCTAACTGTGGCCACGCTCCGGGCCGTGTGTGCCTGAGGCCGGGCGTCCTTTGCAGTCCGCGGCGCAGCTTCGGGGATCAAGAACCGCTCGGCACCGCCCATTTTCATTCCTGGATCTTTTGCCAAGCAACCTTCCCATCCATCTGTCCCCAGGACTTGGTTACAGACACCGGGCCTGGCCGGCTCCAGGGTTGCCCTTAGGGGACTGACTTTGCGGAGAGGGTGACAAGGAACCTTTTGGAGACAGCGTCACTTTTTCTCTGTTTACTGCCTTTCTGAGAAAGAAGAGTTAGCACCCAGCTCCACCGGAAGCTTCCTTCTTCCAGTCAATCCAGTCTCCTGCTTTTCCTTGCGTGCGGTTTTCCCAAAATGTTCCTGTCTTCTCCCTTCTGCTGAGTTTGCTTCTAATGCTGTTACCCCTGTTTTAAGTGTGAATGTGACTCACATAGAGAGGCAGTTCATTTCTCCAATGTACTCTGTAAACATCCTGTTCTTTTCCTTCATAGCTCTTACTGCAACTGGAAAAACAAGCAAACAAACAACAACAAAACCCACAAACACTTGCCGGCTTATTTGTAATGTCTGTGTCCAGGTCCGACTTTAGGAGGATGAGGCCCATGCAGCTAGACAGGCCCCTAACAGGTCCCTGCTGTCCAGTTTTCAAATTCTTAATTGCTGAACAAAGATTTCCTCGTTTTCATTTTGCCCAGGGCCCCTGAATATTATTTAGCAAATGCTGCCGGCCCTCGCTAACCCCATGGTTCATAGGGCCCAGTGCCATGCCCAGCACTTAGTAAGCACCTTCCTTTACCATTTCCTGGCTCCCCTGATGATGTCAGCCGCTCCCTTTTCCAGAATGCTATTGGTAACTCCCTGGGGAATTGGTCTTTTCCCGGAACAATTTTGTGCTTTGTAAGGGAAGGAAAATGTTTTCCTGGCTGATAACTTAGAAACTTGGAGCTTGTCGTGTATTTTTAAAAGCCAGAGTTAATGTTGTTCCATACAACTTTCCCTTTGAAGAAAAAACAGAATAATTTCTACAAAAGGTTATTATCTTTGTAGGGATGGTAGTGCCCAGCGTCAAAGAAAAAGAATGTTGTCCTTTTCATTTATTTGTTTATTGTGGCACTGAGGAACGAACTCAGGACCTTGTGAGGCAGGTGGCAGCACCACTGAGCTAAATCCCCAGTCACATGTCAGTTTTCTATTCTTAAATTTTTACCCCACTTGGATGCTCTTTTTATTTCCTCTTTGGCTTGAGAAAAGTACTTATCTGGGAAGGAGCACCCATCCTCCAGTGAAACTCCTATCTGCTGGTTGGATTCTACCCAAGGCTTCTGGCTGTTCCATCCCTGTACACCCCCACTACACCCTCCCCGCTCTGGTCCTTGGCTGCTGCCTTCAACTTTTCATTATCTCTGTCTACTTTGTTTCTCTCAGGCTACTGTGTCTTTCCTACACACCCAAAGCAAATTAGGATTTTCCAACTCTACATTGTGAATCAGAGAATCACTGGATATGGGTGTGACCATGAAATCAACAGATATTTATTGAGCCTCTTTTATGTACCAGATCTGAGCCCTTCCTTGGGGGCACCTGACAGTTTGATGGGTAAGATTATGTCCTGTGATTAGTGTCCATTGCTTTTGGTCAAAAAGGTGTGGTTGTACTTGATTCCTGTTGAATCTGGAACAGTCTGGAAAGATGGGCTTAATTCCAGGAAGTCAAGGTTATTGCGATAGTATTTCAAAGTTTAATTATGTGGCCACGTCCTGTCTGAGTGTCTAAACTGAGGATGTAAGATAAACATAAAGTACTATCTCTCAGTCTCCTGAACACTTTAATTGAAAACTCTGATGTAGAATTAATGTGGTCATCGTTATTTTTTTCCAGTCTTAACATTTTCCACAACTGCTTTACAAAGGGCAACGTGTAATGAATTCAAATGATTCATGTTAGTGTCTATTAATATAATAGCAAAGAATCGAGTTAATGACTGTCATGCAGTAGAAGGAAGTCACTCAATTTCTGTAGTATAAAACATTACAAAAGTTTCCCATCTGTTATTTCCCTGCCTCTTTGAGTTGTTACCTGTCAATCAGGTATGTGAATGCTCCTTACAAAGTATAAAGCGCTAAAAAAGCAAAGTTTTGAATATAATTCATGACTCCTCTCTGGCAAAATGTGATGGCATTAGGGAAGAAAAGGAATCTGTAATCACAACTAAGTATTAGGTAAAGAGAGAGAGACAGAGAGAAAGAGAGAGAGATTGCATATTAATTTAACTTAAAGCCTTAAAAACCATATAAGGAATGTTCCAGATTGTTCCCATTTCATAGGTAAGGAAATTGAGAATTCAAGAAGCTAGATAGCCTGCCCACACAGATACAGATCACAAAGTGATGCATACTTGTCTTGGGAGGAAAGAAAATTATAGTGATTTTATAATGCCAAATAGATCTTCTGTTTCAGATTTCAAAAGCATCAGAAAACTGAAAGTCAACATGTATGTGGTTTTTTTCCCTAGAGGTTAGAATACTGTGGGATTTTTTAAATTGCAGGATTTTGTTCTCTGACTCACCTGGCTGTATCTGCTGTATACATTTCTGTTTTGCAGAATCCTTTAACTTTGAAGTTAGTGAAAAAATTAATTGCAGCAGGTAATAAAGAAGAATTACAAAAATGTTTTGGGGCCCGAATGGAGTTTGGGACAGCTGGCCTTCGAGCACCCATGGGTCCAGGGATATCTCAGATGAATGACTTGACCATCATCCAGACTACACAGGTACTGCAGTTTTATAATTGTTAGTCACTCATAGTACATCCCCGGCTCCTTTTATTGTAATTATGGCCATGTCTTTTGACTTGGGCAGGTACAAGGAGTCAGAACATTTACTCCAGAAAGTGAGGCTCATGAAGTTGGTTGAAGCAGTTTTGTTTCAACATTCAGGATCAGCTAGCCATCTATCTACTCATCCTTTAAAAGATTTATTGAGCGCCTATATGTGCTAGGCATTAGAGATGCATTATTAATGACTAAAACAGTTCCATTGTAGAGATTTGATTCTAGAACAAATACCTCAATTGAGCTGAATTATAAGGTCCTATCATTTTTCTCATGGTTTGATAGATTCTGGTATTAAAAGGACATCACCAGTATCAGCAAGAACCTATTCCATTTAGTTTTTGGTGTTTTGTCTTTTTTTTTTTTAATGTGGATATGAATTGAAATTATTGCTGAGTTTCCTCCCTTGCTTTAGTTTGTGTGTTTTATTGTTAGAGTTGAGACCCAGCTTTCAGGAATACAGATGAAGACAAAACAGGAAAGTTGTCACTGAGTATCAGGAAAAGTATTTCTGATGGAAATGAACTAGAACAACCTATTCTCACAATTTCTGCAACTACTTAGACTTATTTAAAATGAGCATCCCCTCAATTCGGGAAAGACAAAGCTAGAGAATATGGCTACTGATGATTATATGCATCCCTGAGTAAAAGGCGGAATTGGGCATATCCTGCTGAAACCCCAATATGGGAAGCTCATGTGAGGGAGGCACAGTTACTCGGAGCCCTGGCCATAAACTAAAGGTGCAGGGCTTCCTGGGATCCTTTTGGAGGGAAGATTACTTGGAATACTACATCTGGGAATCCTGCCCTAGTGGGATGTGCCACCCAAGGTGACTTTCTGTTCCAGTGACTAAAGCTGTGCACTAAGTCACCCAAAACATGGTGGTTTCTACCAACTTCCATATTTGTCTTGCTCACACCCCTGCAATTTGTGTAGAGCTCCATGGAGACAGCTTATCTCTGTCCTGCCTGGTATCACCTGGGCCAATTTGGAGACTGGGGTCATTTGAGTCTTGTACATTCCCATGGCTGCAGTTACTGCTGGCTGTTGTCTGAGATCTTGCTGGGGCTGGAAAACCTGCAATGCGACCTGGCTTCCACACAGGATGGTGAGTGAGAGATAGAGACAGACAGACACACAGCTGGAGAGTGTGCCAGGCAGACGCTGCATTGACTTTCATGGCTGAGGTTCGAGTGCCACCAAAAGTCCCTTCCTTCTATCATATTCTGTTAAAAGTGAGTCAGTGAGGCTGCTCATACTGAAGGAAACACCTACTGCAAACACCTGCTTCTCATGGAGGGACCGTCAGTGTCATATCATAAGATACATGACCATCTTTGGACAGTCCAGTTGGTCACAGCTGTTACTAGATCTAATTATTAGGGGTCCTAAGAAATTCTAGATTAATGTAGGCTCTTTGTCCACTATTTATCTATATCTACTTTCCAAAAATGAAGAAGTACATCCCCAGGAAAAAAATCTTGCCAGTTATTTTACCCACTCTCACACACTCTGAAAGAACTGGTCTGTTCTGATAGTGAGTCCTGTGGTAGTTAAGAACCCCACCAAAACAAGACAGATAGCTTAGAGGTCATCTCAGCCAGCCAGCCATCCCTTGGGATGATCTCTGCAATATCCCCTTTCCAGATGGTCATATAGCCTCTTCTACGATACTTACTATAGGAGACAAGGACGGTAAGGGTGAGGAAAGTTCTGTGAGAGCAGCAGGTGTCTCTACTATCTCAGTAGTAATTCCAGCCATGGAGGATCCCCAGGAATCCCAGTAAGAGGATTTGCGAGCTCAGACCTCCACCCCAGCTTTGGAGAACACTCCCTTGCAAATGGTGATGTGCGACCATGCAAGTAACTTGGTATAGAGTCTCCACCTAATGTTGTCTTAAAGTTTGCCTGCTTTGTTTTAAGAAGCAGGTGTGTCAAGAACATCTTCACAAAACAGGGCGGAAATGGGAGGAAAACTTGTGTGTCACTTTCCTCATTGATAGAGGCTATAATTTCCTTCTGACAATTCATGCCTATTTCATGCTGTATTGTGACTCATATGCTTAGATTACTTACCCTTGGCACCACTTATCAGGGCTGGAGAACTCACTGTCCCCCAAAATAGCCCATTCTATCTTTGCATCGTTCTTGTTAAAAGATGCTTCATTATTTTGATCCAAAATCTGTCTTTCTGGAGCTTTTACATATTGATCTTCATTCTGTTGTTTGAAGTCATACAGACAAGATTGCTTCTTGTGTTCTGTAATAATATTTTGATTTCAAAAACCTTCCTCAACCCATGAATCATTTCCCTAAAAGAAGCACTCTCTTGCCCTTAACCATTCACTGGTCCTCAAAATCAGCAGGCCCTGGAGCTTTTTAGAGAACACAGAGCTGCAAGGATTTAGGCTAAGGCTGCAGGCTTCTTGCCTTCTGGAACATTGAGGGCATAGCACAGCGGGTGACCAGGGAGAGGGTGGGGTGCTGGTGCTGGGGAAAACCACAGACAGGCATCTGGATGCCTTTCTGCGAACCCCCAAAACCCATACATGTAGGTCCTTATTGCTTGAGGCTTTCTGCCCAGTGTAATATGTCTCTCAGAGATAAAGTAAAGGCATTCTAAATTGTCACTACTTTGGCAAAAAGGCTGTGAAGTATCCCCCTGCCAGCAAAGAGTTAATGTTTTTTATAAGAATTCCTTTAGCCAAAGTGAAATAAGTAGCATGAACCATCATTATTGCCTGATCCACTGCCTGCTGTTTGTTCAATACTATCCATTAATCTAAAGCTTTGGAATTCCACATCACTGTTTCCAATCTCCTATATTTGAAATTTTGGGGATGTTACTGCACCATCCTGCTGCAGGACTGGCATGCTCCAGCAGTTTTGTGTGGGTGGTGATCGCCCCAAGCCACCCAAGCTCTGTCTGACTAGTTGGTTATACCCTGTAATTAGACTAATTGTGGCCTCCTTTACACCTCAGAAAAAACATCACAAACAAAACATTTCCATCAGTTAATAGTCAAAATCTTATTAAAACATACCCTGTTGCTTTGACCTACTGATATTGCCAATTAGAAAGAGATTTCGCCTTTTCTCTTTTTTCCTTTTTGAAAAAGTGTCTCACTATGCCGTTCAGGCTGGCCTCAAATTTACTGTGTAGCCCAGGCTGGCCTTGAACTTGTAGTGATTCTCCTACCTCAGCCTCCTGAGTGCTGGGATTATAGGCATGCACTAGCAGAAAGAGATTTCTGCATTGCCTGTTTGTTTTAGCAGATATTGTAGAGGTAACATAAAGAAAACAGCATAAGCTGTGAAGGAAAATAATGATGAAACTAATGCTCTTATAATGCACACTTGCACAGTGCTTTCTTGGTGTCAAATTCCCAGCCAGTACGTTTTATTTCATTTAAGCCTTGTAACAGTCTATGTGGTAGGTACTATTGCTGTTCCTGTTTTATAGGAAAGCAAAGTGAGGCATCGGGAGATTAAGGAATTTGTCACTTGGCTTGTAGGTGGCAGAGTACAAATCCATATTCTGGTTCCAGAATGTGTGCTTAAACACCACCCTGAGCCACCTTTCCCAGATGCAGGTACAAAGCCAGGTCCTGCTGCTCATGTACCTGGAACTGGGCAAGCCATCTCTGAGCCTCAGGTGTTCCGTCTGTAAAATGGGACTTCTTCACAAAGTTGATGTGGGGTGGGAGATAATAAATGAGTTCTCAATGCTGAGTCTCACACACGCAGACAGACAGACAGTAGATAAAGACATTATTTTTTCCCAGCACTCAGGAGGCAGAGGCAGGAGGATCACCATGAATTTGAGGCCAACCTGGGTTGTGTGGTGAGTTAAAGGCCAGCCTGAACTATACAGTAAGACCCTGTCTCAAAAAAGCCCCCCGCAAAACCTTTTGTTTTTTAATTGCTCATTGTGTTTAATCACTGAGAAGCTTTTTTTCTTGTGTTATAATGTTCTGCTGTAAAAGTTGAGAAAACAGCATTTTTGGCTAATTTTTCTACATTGCATGTATAAAAGATGTGTTAAAACACACTCTCTTTTAATCCATGGGGCATTTTTAGGGATTGTGCAGGTACCTGGAGAAGCAGTTCAGTGACCTCAAGCGGCGGGGCGTCGTGATCAGCTTTGACGCCCGAGCTCACCCCGCCAGTGGAGGCAGCAGCCAAAGGTATGGAGACACTTTTAGGGAACAATTTTTTGGTAGTTTATTTTGCAAGTTTATCATTAATCCCCTTTTCAATAGCTTCACTTTAAATATATTACTAGCTACATTATGTAACTATACCAAAAATGGTAACTTCTCTTTGTTCTGCCAAAGATAGACTGTTTTTATGTTGAGGTTAAGAAAATAAAGTGATGTAGGCATTTAGAATGTAATACTTATCTAAAGGAAAGAAACGTCTTAAACTGGCAATGTGATTTCTCACTCTCCCTTGCTTCCTTTTGGATAATTTTTTCTTCCACTGTTCATAAAACTCACGGTCTCTTCCCATTCTTGCACTCCCACCTGAGGCTGCATTTCTGTAATATTCTGAACCCCTTGGCTCTCCTGGGTAGCCCTGAGCAGGTGATGAGACCGTAGTGATGATGGGAACAGCAGCCATCGCTAGAGGGCTGATTGTGACCCAGGCATCTATATATTTATTCTCTTAATCCTCGCAACAGCCCGTAAGGTTTTCCAGTCATCTTTTGCTATCCATAGCAGATTGGCTCTGTGACCCTTTCAGATACCAAAATCTGTGGATGTTCAAGTCCCTTGTATAAAATGGCATAGTGCTTGAGTATAACCTTATGTACATCTTCCTGTGTACTTTAAATGAGTTCTAGGTTACTTGTGATACCTAGAAGGTAGAAGTGGAATGTAAGTCATTGTTCCAGTGTATCATTTAGGGAATTATGGCAAGAAAAAAATTTTATAAACCAACAGTGTGGATACAGCTATTCTAGGCCTAGTTGTATACTGAGTTTTCCTGAAAATAAGGCCTAACCGGAATATAAGTTCTAGCTGGTCGTTAGCATGTGACAGCTAGTATCGTGCAGATTATACCTCACAATTGTTCAGTGGCCACTCTGTAAGGCATGTAAGACAAGGACAGGCTGATTGGGGCTGGCATTTTTCCCCCCAGCACCAGGGATTGAACCTGGGACCTTGTGCTTGCGAGGCAGGTGGCAGCACCACTGAGCTAAATTCCCAGCCTAAGGCTGGCGTTTTTGATCTCTAGTTTTCAAGGCTGATTATTTTCCAATTAGATCTTATTTTGGGGGAAAAATGGTAGTATAGGCCAGCAACAATATGACATTTTTCATCCATAGTTGGCTGAATCTGCTGGTGCAGCACCTGCACATACAGAGGTCTAACTGTTCTTTATCTCTGACATCACAGTGTGAGAGGAGCCACAGTTTTACATAAGAAACCTGGCACCAACAGTCCGCAGATATTTTCTCTAAAGGGAAGTAGTTGACATCTTACACACTGCGTACCATATAGCAGCTTTTGACTTTTCTGACACCAGGAAGCAGTTTCATTAAAGAATTTGGGGAATGGGAGTGGCTTCGTGTTGATTCAGAGGCATGCACAGAACTCAGATCCACATCACGCATGGTTCACAGTAGGGCTCGAGTTCCTCTGAGACTCTCATGCCTTCAGTGATCTGACAGGAGGCAGAGCCCCAGCAGTAACATCCACACAACAGGGAACAGCTATAAATGTAGATTAAGCTTCCTGGCTGGCCCCTCTGCTCACCTCCTGTTGTGCCACCCTATTGCTAACAGGCCAGTGACCAGTCCTGTTGGTCTCTGTTCCCAGTGTTGGGGACCCCTGCCATAGAGTCTGTACTCAACTACGGAGCTCTGCTGCATACCCCAGAACCTCTGTGTAGACAGTGTACGCAGAGAACTTTGTACACACTGTGGGCCATAGTTTACCATGTTACGTGACCCTCTTTTCACTTGCATCCTCCCCTACTATGACTAATGATTCTTAGATATTAAGGAAAAGCCTTATTACCTTTTCAGTGCTTTATGAATTTATAGAGTCCAGGTCTGGACCTGTAGGAGCTTCTAATCTGACAGAAGCATTGGTGGGGACAAAAGTTATGGCCATGAGGAAGGGAGCGTGCGTGGCCAGGGAAAAGGACCAAGAGGCATTCAACCCCCAGATCCAAATCAGGAGGACACAGGGTTTTGGTCTTTAGCTTTGCAGGTTCCAGAATGTGGTTTTTGTCAGCAAGACTAGAGAGAAGCTAGAACTCTGGGGAGGAGAGCACACGAATTACACAAGGGAGTGGCATAGAATAAACCAGGTTATCAGCTCATCAACTTATCATTGGTAACAGCAGTTAGAACTAGATCATGTGTGTGTGCTACCCTGGGGCAGGTCATACCCTCCGGCTAGAGCAGGCACAGCATCTCCACATGGCACAACTTCAGACAGCTTGTCAGGGAGGGTAAGGGTGTTTCTTGCTCTGGCCATGGAGTCACGCAATTGGCTTGAAGCGACTGACACTGCTGATTCTGAGCTTATGGGTCAAGACTTAGAGTCTGATGGGACGGGAGGGAGTGAGCTCAGGGCTACTCTGTCACATACACGTGTCTCTGCAAGACATTTAGAAGTCATAATATAAATATAAAACCAATACATAGCAAAGCATGTGTAATGGATGAATGGACTCTTCCTAAAAAGTGAAGCTGTTACAACCTCAAAATTCTATGTAAGGAAATGTTTACATTTTCCAATCCTCAGATTTTAAATATTTGGTGGGAAACACAAGCTGTAACTATTAAGCACTTGCAGAAAACACACTGAATATTTGTGGTGCACATTTGTAACTGTACATATGGTTATTTTGCAACTAGAGAGTTTCTCCTTTGCCAGCTTTAAGATAGGACCTTGGTGGTCACCTAAATAATGAACGTTTCATGAAGGTAAAAGTCATGTGCCTTCTAGTAAATGTAGTCTAGATTTTATTCAGATTTTTTATTAAAATTATTTTGCTGAATTTTGTTATTTTTATCACTTGCCACTATGTACAGGCAATTTTTTAAACTGTTAAAATCATTTTTGTATTTTTAACGATGTTAGGAATTTTAACAGTTGTGTTGTTGAAGCAAGGACAGAGCTCTTTGTTTCCCTGCCAGCTCACAGAATAGAGTTCAACAAAGCTAGTGCTGAAGAAATATTTGAAGGAGCAGGATATGGTGGCACACACGGAGCTGAGGAGGGTCACAAACTCAAGGCCAGCTTGGACTAAAGAGAAAAACCCAGTTCCAAAAAAAAAAAAAAAAAAAAAGAAAAGAAAAGAAAAGGGTGATCTGGGGTTTAATCCTGGACTATTATTATGTAGCTCAGTGGAACTAAATTAAAGCTCTTCACTCCAACAATATCCTGCTGTAAGCCAGTTGCTCTGGAAGTTGAGAAAAATGCCAGATTAAAGGCTTTTTTAGGAGTTCTGCACCGAAACCTGTGTGCGTGAGCATATGAGTGTGTACCTGTGTGAGTGTGTCTGAATGAGTGTGTACACCAATATACCTTCGTTTCAAATAAAACAACAACTGATCAGATTCTGGTGTGCATGATATGTACTGGATCAAGATGGCTTTGGGCTAGGGTTGCTCAGGGTCTGCATGATGGGTCGTGACTTCACCCTGGCTGGTGAGTTCTTTGAACTGTGCTTTAGCGCCATGCATGGCATCTACCCACTGGCTGTCAGTAGCATATCCCCTCCATTTCAGATGTCCCATGGGGGACAGAACTGCCTGAGCTATGAACCACTGAGGTGGACAAGATGGACAGAGAATTGAAAGATGGGTACAGACCTGGTTCAGGTGCTAAGTGGCCTCTGGCTGTGGGGCAAGATGCCTGGACTTTCTGGTTTTAGTCCCATTTCTGCAAAACAAGAGTAGTATAAGATGACCTCTCAGGGTCCTCCAGCTTTAGTAGTTAAAGCTTATGTAAATGTATTTTCCTTGCTCTGGTTTGGGGTATTCAAGCTAAAGAAGTGTTCCACATTCATCTGCTACTTTCCATCACACGTGGTTATGACAATTGCACTCCTTTTCTTCCCTATTATTACATTTCTAGGTTTGCCCGACTTGCTGCAGCCACATTTATCAGCCAGGGGATTCCTGTGCACCTCTTTTCTCATATAACTCCAACTCCCTTTGTGGTAAGTAAACATTTCCTGTCACAGGATCAGGGCTGGGACTTGCCGAGTGTTACGGGCCTTCATGCTGTTGGCATTCAGGTGTTTCAGTGACAGCGAGCTTCTTAGTGTTTATCAGGCTGCCTCTTTTCTCTCCAGGAAACTTTTGCCCACATCCTGGTAATATTCAAAGTATACTTTTCCTTTTTGCTTGCATGGTAAGAATGCAATAAAATGAATAAAATGTTTTGTTAATTCTTGCTCTGTTTGGTGAGTAGAGCCTCCCGTCCCCACCCCCAGCTATCATAACTAGGAAACTCCTTAGGTCCAAATCTGAATTTTAGATTGAGCCTTGACCTCAAACTTGGGGTGATTCTTTAACTGATGGCTGTCTTCTCCTTCACTTCAAATGCTGCTTTGAGTACTTTTGACAAGTTGGTGCTCCTGTTTTATATAAAATACTACTCTTGGCTAGCCGTTTATCAAATCTTTAATGAAGCAGAATCTAAAGGAGGGGTACCAGGGACTCTGATGGCTGTTACTTTTAAGTAGACTGAGATGTTGAGAGCTGAGCCAGATGCTGAGAACGTTTTTAGAAAACAAGACCTGAATGCAGTTACTTACACTGAGCAGAAACAAGAGCGTGTTGAGACAGAAGTGAGCGCCCCCTAGTTCTGTGTGTCCGGCTCTGACAGGAAGATGCATCACCCCCAAGGTTGTAAGTGACCCATAACACTGTGTGTCACCTCCATATGTAGTTTCACTGCCTGGTGGAAAACTTGCATCACGTCCAAGCCTCCTGTCTTCTATACTAAGTGTTGATAGCTATTATTTTTACATCACACTTGAATTCAGGAAGTGTCTCCTGATTACTTTTCCAAACTGTCAAGTGGGTCTGCTCTTTTCTTTGCACCAAGACCCCAGAGGGGTGTGACATACTTCTAAGGAAACAAATTAGTGCAGTGATTCTTGTGGGAGAGTGGAGAGGGACAGAGGGGTCAAATCTTAGGTTGTTTGCAAGTAGTAAGTCTTATAATCTCCTTTGCAACTGTAGGGGAAATAATCCAGCCCCCCCTTTTTAATTTTTTTATTATTTATTTATTTTGGAGACAGGGTCTTGCTATGCAGTTCAGGCTGGGCTTGAACTCATTATGTAGACCAGGCTGGCCTCAAACTCATGATGGTCCTCCTGCCTCAGCCTCCTGAGCACTTGGGATTACCCTCTCCTATTATGAGAAGTCTTGTAAAGATGGGAGCAATGTTCAAATCTCAGGGAACTATACTTAACCTTGTAATTAAGAGGTAAATGAGGTTACCTATAAATGTACTCTCCATTTCCTCAAGCAAACAAAAAAGAAGGGAAAATAATTGGCTGGAGACAATCGACTGAATATTTAAGTGTCTATCCTGACCAAAAGCTTTGAAAGAATGTGAAATGGAGACTTAGACCATTTGTTTGTTTGGAGCATTTTCTAACTTTAGCAAGAAGACAAAATGAGAAGACGTCTCCTAAGAAATGAAGACATACATCTTATCATTTAGGTTAGCCAGTTAGTTCCAGAAAAATAAGAGTACATAGTCGCCCTCTAAGCTCAGGAGATGGGGTGTGCATTCCAGCGGATGCCTGAGGCTGCGGATAGTAGCAGACTGTAGGGAACAGGGAAAGGGGACGTTACTAGAACCTCTGCAGTGAGCTTTGGGCCTGATCAGTGATGCTCTGGGCAGCAAAGAGGAAAGCCCTCCCCGGGTGGCTGCTTGCCACCTTTGTTCAGGAGAAACAAATGTAACAGATGACTCGGCAGAGTTCAGTACATGGGAGAGTAACAAATGTAAAAAGTCACTCAGAGGGCAGCAAAAGTGAAAATCCTAGGACAATGAGGCACTATGCAGATGAAGATTTTGTCCCTCCCCGGGTGGTATAATCTTGTCCTGGAGCATCACATCATCACTGGACCATTGAGGTCATAGCTGTGACCAGGGCCAAAATGGAGTTCTGTGTCAACATGCCATAGCTGGCCTGCAGGCAGGAGAACTAGGCCTAATCGTAATTTTAATTGTAAAATGATTTTTCCCAAAAATTATGTAGAATTGCTCCCAGCAGCAGACCCTATAGATATGATATGGTTTGACTTATACATTAGGATTAACATAAAGGATTAACAATTACTACTAAAAAAAGGAACAGTTATACAAAATACACTGTAGTAAAAGCTAAGTGAATTTTATCTCTCTTCAGAGTCACAACAAATATCAGTATTTTGGACCATGGGTAACTGAAACCACCAACAATAAAACCCAAGGTGGGGGGCTACTATATACTTTGTAGTGTGACACAAAAACATTGCATGGTCAATATGCAACCACACCTGACTAAGATATTTATTATGTTTATTCAAAGGGGAACAAGGTGGCACCAGCAATACACAATAGGCACTTCGAGTGTATCGGATTTTGTTAAAAAGCGTCCCTCTCTCCTGCCGTTTCAGCCCTACTCTGTGTCGCATTTGAAACTTTGTGCTGGAATCATGATCACTGCCTCTCATAACCCAAAGCAGGACAATGGCTATAAGGTATTTCTCTTGCTGTCTTCACATATTCTTTTTCCAAAGTTATCCTGTCCCTATGTTATTTGGGAGAACAGGTAATGGAAATTTAACCTTGAACTTTTAAAATTTACTTTGGTAGTACTGGGGATTGAACCTAGGGTCTTTACACTGAGCTACATCCTCAACTCTTTAAAAACATATTTTTTTTTAATACTTTGAAACAGGGTCTCGCTAGGCTGCCAAATTGCCCAGGTTGGGCTCCAGCTTGTGATCCTCCTGCTTCTGCCTCCCAGAGTGCTGGGATTACAGGTGTGCAGCGCCTAACCCAGCTAAGCCTGAACTTTTTAATGTGTCTGTGGCTTCTCTAGGTCTACTGGGACAACGGTGCCCAGATCATCTCTCCACATGATAAAGGGATTTCTCAAGCTATAGAAGAAAATCTAGAGCCCTGGCCTCAAGCTTGGGATGATTCTTTAATTGATGGAAATTCCCTCCTTCACAACCCTACTGCATCCATCAGTAACGACTACTTTGAAGATCTTAAAAAATACTGTTTTCACAGGTAACTGAATTATCTCTTCACTAACTTTAAGTGAGTTAAGTTAATGTGGCTAGGCTAAATTCTATCAATACGGGGGCTGTGGATCAAGGTTTGTCATATTTTTTCTTTTTCCATTCTCTCTTCTATCTTTTGAAACAGGGTCTTGCTGTGTAGTCCAGGCTGGCCTGGCCTTGAACTTGCCATGTAGCTCAGCCTGACCTTCAACCTGCAATCCTTCGGCCTTAGTGGCTTGGCCAACTTTTCTTACAGTGTCAGATAGAAAATACTTCAGGCTTTGCAGGTTACAAAGACTCTCATCTAGTCAGTTTTGAAGTTATAGTATGCAGACAGCCTCAGATGACCTGTCAGTGCAGCAGTACGTAGTGGCTGTGTTCTCAAAATACTATGTGCAAGCAGGGGCCCAGCAGGTAGGCCATAGGTGTCTGATCTGCTATATATATATATATATTTGTAGGTGTGCATATACATGTATGTATACACATGTTTATATATGTACATTTTTTAAACTTACCCAAAACTGTCCAGAAGGAAACACTAACAATGCTATATATATATATTTGTAGGTGTGCATATACATGTATGTATACACATGTTTATATATGTACATTTTTTAAACTTACCCAAAACTGTCCAGAAGGAAACACTAACATTTTCTCATTTTATGGACATTTTCTGTGCATATGCAAGCATGTATATGTCATTTCAAAGCCATAGTATGGGTATAGTTTGGCCTGCGCTTTTTTCCTCAGTTTGCGCTCGACACCTTCCTGTGTTAGTCCCTATTTGTCCTCCTCTTTCATTCTAAAGGCCACTGCACCTGTTCACTTAACCCCGTGACACAGGCTCCATACTTTCAGCCAGGTACTAAGCAGTGTAGGTGGGTGGCGGTATGATCCTCATGCTACTCCCAGGTGTCCCCCAGCAAGACACCACTGATTTGAAGGAGCTGAATTCCCGGCTTGCCTCTGGCACTGTATTGGGCCACTTGGTGGCAGCTCCAGGACAGAGTGTGACCCCTCATCTTATTTGAAGAGAGTGGCCATCCCTGCCCAGCCTTCACTCAGCTGCAGCCCGGAGATATCCAAGTTGCCAGATTCTTGGATGTTTTTCCTTCCCAAAAGAAATCTTCTAACTCCTAAATGTTGGTGACTATTTTTTCCACTGGTGCATAATCCAAACAGAACACCTTTGTGAAGTTTCCCTCTGCTCCTCTGACCCAACTTGATGAAGAGTCTCCAGGTTTTTCTTATTCCAAGTAGCACTGGGCCAACCCCCAGTGCACAGTTTATTGAGTCCATGTGTGTCCCATGAAACAACTTTGTGGCATCAGAATAAATCACTGAATGTGCATTTACAAAGTTGATAGTGGCTAGCAGATTGCTCACCAAGACTGTTGCAGCAGTGGACGCTCCCACCAGCAGCCCGTAACAGTATGGCCTCACATTCCTGCCTCTGTGGGTGTTACCCAATTCTCATTTTTCCCCACTGAGCTAGGTGAGAATAACATCTCACTTTCATTTGCCTTCTTTAGGTATGAATAAACTTGGCATATTTATTTAATTTATATTTTCCTATGCGTTTGTTCATCTTCTACATTTTGCAAAACTTATTTATATAGAAACCTAGTCTTCTTTATTTCAAGTATTGTCTTCCCCTCCTGTTGTTACTTTTGCAGTTTTTTTTTAATTAAAACTTTTTGTTGGACTTGTAAAATTTTTTGTTAATTATTGGTCTTGATTTATGGCTTCTGAGTTTCATGTCATACCTTAAAAGACTTTCTCTACAATGCTAAAGAGAAAAAATTCTTGTTTTTCCTAGAACTTTTGTATTTACATTTTGTCATGGTGAATCTTTTGAGTCACCTTTAATTCTGAATTTTTTATGATGTAAAATAAGGCAGAAGCTTAGGGTTTTCCTGAAAAATTTGCAGCTATACCAATACCATAAATTATAGTATCTTTTTTTGACTAAGAAATGTCACCTTTAGAAAGCAACTTCTATCACTGATTAAATGTTTCTTGTCTATTAGGTAATTGCTTCAGGCTCTTCACCTGTGATCTCTTTGCAATCCTGCCAGCAGTGCCTCAGGGGACAGGTTCTGTTTTCCGTTTTGTAAGTGAGAAAGCTGAGGTTGTGGCTGGGCAACAACAGCCAGCCCTCGCAAGGCTTGTAAATGGCAGAGGTCCAGAATTTAAATTCAGAGCCTGATTCCAGAACGTGACAGCCCCTAAGCTTTACTGCTTCTCGCAGGCATTTTCCATTCCAAATATGATCTGCTCGATTCTCTATTCTGTCCCTTTAATCTGCCTTTTTATATCTAGTGCCATAGCTTTGTGACATATTTTAATGTCCAAGAGAGTGTTTTCAGATTTATCATCCCCAATCTTGCATATGTATTTTTCTAGATGCATTATTTATTTATGTGTGCATGCATGCGGTACTGGGGATTGAACCCAGCGAGTGCTGAGCTGGGTTTCAAGCCTTTTTTCTTTTTCTCTTTGAGACAAAAATCTCCTTAAGTTGTCCAGGTTGGTCTCAAACTCATGATTCTCCTGCCTCAGCCTCCTGAGAAACTGGAATTACAGGAATGCGCCACCCCATGGCTCAGGGGCTTTCTTATGCAAGCATGTTCTTGTTTTAAATCACTGTTCTCTTAGGACAAATTGTGTTCCTGTGTTTATTTCTTCTGGCAGTCAGAGCATAGTTTTTAAAAAGCCTTTGTTTACTTTTCTGTAACTTCTGTTAATTTTTCTTTCTATAGTTATGCTATTTGTCTTGAATCTCTAGGTCAGGGTACTTTGTCAAACGGAAGTGTTACCTATACATACCTATGTATGTCCACATGTGTACTAATTCATCACAGTTCACTGAAAGGACCCTTTTGAAAGTCATTTCTGAAGCTATTGAAGAATCTGTGGAGCCCTGGAGTTCAGTTTGGGCAGGGCCTTGGGCAGCATCCAGGGCACAGCTGTGGGTCTGATCCTGGAAGCTGAGCCTGGGCTTCTTTGTTGAATTCCACTTTGGCTGTCCAGAGAGTACCCCAAAACACATCCTCAAGCAGGCAGACTTGTAGAAAGTAACTGCGGAGTAAAACTTAACGCTTGCATGTGTTGAAGGGAGAGACATTTAGGAAGAGAGTGGACAACGTATCTCTCTTTTTTTTGGTACCAGAAATCGAACTCAGGACCTCACAGTTGTCAGACACAGGCAGGTGCTGTGCTGCTGAGCTACATTCCTGACTCCTTTCTCTTTTTTTAAAATGATCTAGGAAGATATTCATTTGTTTTGTATATTCTTACCCGGTTGACTTTTATAATCTTGAGAAGCTGATTGCTTGATATTTTGCAAACCTTCCGGTTTTGAGGCATAATTGTGTCTTCCGTGGTGTGTCTGACTCTAGGAGTGTGAACAGCGAGACCCATGTGAAGTTTGTGCACACCTCTGTCCACGGCGTGGGGCATGACTTCGTTCAGGCAGCATTCAAGGCTTTTGATCTGGCTCCTCCTGAGCCTGTTCCTCAACAGAAAGACCCTGATCCTGAGTTTCCAACTGTCAAATACCCAAACCCCGAAGAGGGTAAAGGAGTCCTGGTAATCTACATTTTACAAAATTATAAAATCTTCCTTGACTAAAAAGTCATACTATTACTATCAAGTAAAATATATTTCATGTGTTTTTGTTGTATTGAAGAGAAATGGCTTTCTTCATTGGAAATGTGTATGTTGGTTAGTCATTAACTTCTTAAAGGAACTTTCAAATGAGATCATATCATCATGGAGTAAGATCTGAGATCTGAGTAATGCTTTCAACCAATTTAATTAAAATTTAATTTGCTGTGTTTAATACCAATAGCTAACAGTAATATAAGAGAGTTTTTTCATGTTATGATTCTTATCCTTCATTGTCACTTTTCTGATATGAAGGAGTGTTATTTAAATTATGGTTTGCATAATATGTTTTAAGGCTGGATAACAGTGATGTTGAGAGAATTATTTTTGTTTGTTTGTGAGGTTGTTCACATAGCAATGCCTAGAAATACAGGTCCAGCCACACACAGCCTGCCACATGTGTGTGGAATCACAGGGCAGATCTGGGCCATGCATTAATGCCTCATTAGCTGATCTCTGGCTTAGGAAGGTAACATCTGACCGAACAAGACCAGCTCCAGGAGTAAAACCCACCTTTAGTTTGAAGAAAATCCTTTTTTAGCTCTTAAAAACCCTGAATATTTTAAAAGACTACACATATACTCAATTCTTGATTTAAGTAATCTTTTATTTTTGTGCTCTTTTTCAGACTTTATCTTTTGCTTTGGCTGACAAAATCAAGGCCAAAATTGTTTTAGCAAATGACCCAGATGCCGATCGACTTGCTGTTGCAGAAAAGCAAGACAGGTAAAATTAATCATGATTCTATAATGGAAAACTATAAAGGATAACATCTTTGGCAGCAACATGTGCCTGGGCAAGCTGAGCCCATGTGGAAACATTTTTCACTAAGTTTGCACTTATTTTGGAAAGCATTTCAACAGACTTTCTGTGGAGTCGCTAATAGAACAAGATGTTGATCTGAAAGGTAGAAGGATTGCATCACTGGCAAGCATAATGTAGAGCAAATGAACCCAAAGAGTATCTGGAATTGAAATTACTTTTTGTGATCCTCCCTCATGTTATATGGATTTTAATGTAAATAATGTCTCAGCCGGGGCATAGTGGTGCACGCCTGTAATCCCAGCACTCGGGAGGCTGAGGCAGGAGGATCGCTGTGAGTTCGAGACCAGCCTGGGCTACATAGTGAGTTCCAGGTCAGCCTCAACTACATAATGAGAACCTGTCTCAAAAGAACCAAAAAGACTAACAAACAATAAATAATGTCTCAATGCTTAATGCGGCTGATGCTCTTTGCTTGGTGCTGGCTTTGCAGTTCAGTGTGCTGGTGCGTTTGCTAAGGAGCTAGATATTCAAAGAAACACTGGATTAGGTGGATGGACAGAGAGGAATACCAGTGGGGTACTGGCACAATAGCCAAGACAAGTTTGAATCATAGAGTTTGTATAAAGGAACAAATGTTTTAAAACATTTGGCCTTTGCCAAAGATTAAAAGTAAAGCATTCCATGCCATCTCAGATATGCTCATTGTACACAAACTTGAAAGGCAGATGTATGACTAGGCCAATTGGCCAATACATGGTTGCTGCTTACGGGTTTGTGCAGTGACAGCTGTATTTCTGGCCAGTTCTGTAAAGACATGACAAGAACAGTCTTGCAGAAAGTACGATGAGCCTTGGGTGGTTAGTGGTCCTGTTCCCGATGCCTTCCTGAAGATCACTTCAAATGAAATGAGTGGGCTGTGTTTCTTTCAGTGGTGAATGGAGAGTGTTTTCAGGCAATGAGCTGGGGGCCCTCTTGGGCTGGTGGCTTTTTACTTCTTGGAAAGAAAAGAACAAAGACCGCAGTGCCCTCAAAGATACATACATGCTGTCCAGCACTGTCTCCTCCAAAATCTTGCGGGCCATTGCCTTAAAGGAGGGGTTTCATTTTGAGGTAAGGTGTTCATGCGACTTGTACATTTTCCTTTATTTTGCTCTATAGAAAACCTAAGGCATCTTGTTTTTGTTTTGTTTTTGTTTTTGTTTTTGTTTTTTGCATTATCCCTGTAGGAAACACTAACTGGATTTAAGTGGATGGGAAACAGAGCCAAACAGCTCATAGACCAGGGAAAGACTGTCTTATTTGCATTTGAAGAAGCGATTGGTAAGAAGTGAAAATGAGGATCATAGAACCCGTTAATATATAGGATGTAAGTAAATAAGAAAAAGACTTAGATTGAGTCCAACCAATCCACAGTGAAACAAGAGCACACAGTTTACTTTGCTTCTCTATATTTTGGGAGTGTTGAATTGTCCTACTCCAAAACTGGCATCTCATATTTTCTCAACAAAAGGGACATCTTGTGAAAATCACGCCACCCACAGGTGAGTAAAAACAGTGACACTTGCACGTGGCTGCTGGCAGCTGGCAAAGCCACACTTTGGAGGAGCTGTGATGTTTCTTCAACTGTGGTGTTAAATATCCAAACCAAAAGAGTCCATCCACTCCAAAGGTGTAATGAGGATCTTTGCTAAGTCTGTGCAGGGGGAGAAGGCACAGCTATGATGTTCTCATCAAGGGCATGGGCACTTGAAAGGGTGGTCCAATTTCTGCCAGAAAATCTGAAAATCCCTGTCCTAAACTGTTTGTCAATATGTGAGCAGAAAAGAGAGCTAGCTATAGATAGATAAGTGAAATTCAGATGTTTGTGCCAGAAATTATTTAGCTGTTAACTTTGGAAAAACAATTTAAACTTAGTAAAAACTATTGTGCCTCAACTTTATGTTCATCTGTATAGTACCTGAAGCACAGGCACATATCATTGTTTAATTGAATGAAATATAATAGCTCAGCTTTTCTTTTTTGTTGTCAGATTTGGCAGAATTATCTTTTTATGGCTTTTTACTTTGAAAAAAATCATCCATTTGTTTCTCAGCTATTAATTGTATATCTGTTCTTTTGTGACCCTGGAAGAAATGGATGACACTGATCTTGACTATAGGCACATATCATTGTTTAATTGAATGAAATATAATAGCTCAGGTTTTCTTTTTTGTTGTCAGATTTGGCAGAATTATCTTTTTATGGCTTTTTACTTTGAAAAAAATCATCCATTTGTTTCTCAGCTATTAATTGTATATCTGTTCTTTTGTGACCCTGGAAGAAATGGATGACACTGATCTTGACTTATAGCTGCTTATATAGACCTCGCTAAGTAACCGCAAAAAAAGCATAGAGGCCAGGTGCTGAAATGGATCACGTAACTGTCTAGAACAGTCTGTCCCAGAGAAGAAAGACACTGATGTGGATTAAAGTAATTGGAACCAATTTTATACAAGATGGAGGGACTGAATGAAACTGCATAGTCAATGAGGATCCTTTAGCCAGGAGGGAAGAACTTCATCATGGGTTGTTCAGCACATACTTCCTGAAGGCCTGCTCTGTTCTAGGCACTGAGCTGAATTCTTAAACATTAGATGGTTAGTGAGAACCACACATATGCTCAGTACTGTCCCACTCCTAATGTGCGACCTGCTGCCATGTAGGAAAGGAAATCACTCCTAAAGCTGTGTGTATGACCTGTGTTTCTGCAGGATATATGTGCTGTCCTTTTGTTCTGGACAAAGATGGAGTCAGTGCGGCTGTCATAAGTGCGGAGATGGCTTGCTTTCTAGCAGCCAAGAATTTGTCTTTGTCACAGCAGCTAAAGGCCATCTATGTGGAGTAAGTTTCTATGGATTCTATTTGATTGAAGTAGTATTTTTAAATGTTTTATTATGTTCTTGTGTGTGCCATACTAATATTCTTTCTAATGCTCTTGTTTGGGTGATGAACTTTGTTTCTTATAGAAAAATAAGATCATGTGGTGCATGCCTATAATCCCAGCACTCAGGAGGCTGAGGCAGGAGGATTGCTGTGAGTTCGAGACCAGCCTGGGCTACATAGCGAGCTCCAGGTCAGTCTCAACTACATAGTGAGACCCTGTCTCAAAAAAACTAAAAAGAAAAATAAGATCACCTTTTCCTTTTGATGCTTAATTACTTATTACCATTTGCAGGTGCATTAATTCTTAATAAGTGAGAATGTTGTGGAAATGGCTGATTAAAGAATCGAATTTGGGGGCTGAGGATTTAGCTCAGTGGTTCCTCGGCCTGTTTCAAAAAAAAAAAGAACAGAATTTTAGATATCCTATGTCCAAAAACTAAAAAAAGGATTAAATGTAATGGGGCTGAGGATTTAGCTCAGTGGTTCCTCGGCCTGTTTCAAAAAAAAAAAAGAACAGAATTTTAGATATCCTATGTCCAAAAACTAAAAAAAGGATTAAATGTATTCATACTGCATCTATTCAGTCTTTGCAGCAAGTATCGAACCCTACCAGTATGTCACAAAAGCAGAAAGAAACAGCATACAAAATAATGCACATGAAGTGGCTCTGTTCCAATAAAAAATTAATTTATGGGGTGAAGGGAGGACAGGGACAAGGGGAAAAAATGAGAACCAAGACTTGTCTTGTAGAGGTACAAGATCCCAACAATGAATATAACTGTACTATATCCCTAAAATGTACCAATAAACTCAATTAAAGCTGGAAAAAAAAATTAATTTACACATACAGGCTGAAGGCCAGTTAGTCATTTGGTGATCCCTGGGGTAGACTGTTGGACTTCTTTTTTAATGCGAAGTTATGCTTTCAAAGCTAGTTACAGTTATTTGTTTAGGACATACTAGTTGATACATCCTGTGTACACTCCGCGGACTTATTTGTTCATTGCTCATTTTGCATACATTCCTATGTTTGATAGGTACGGCTACCATATTACCAAAGCTTCGTATTTTATCTGCCATGATCAAGACACCATTAAAAATTTATTTGAAAACCTGAGAAACTACGATGGGAAGAATAATTATCCAAAAACTTGTGGCAAATTTGAAATTTCTGCCATCCGGGACCTTACAACTGGCTATGACGATAGCCAGGCTGATAAAAAAGCTGTAAGTAATGCGTGTTTCTGTCAGCTGAACTCTTTTCTGTTTACCTCTTTATGATTTGAATGGATCACTTATTCAATCATATAATTAGTTGAAGCTGATTTTAGATATTTAAGCATGATGATACATAAGGTATAAAATAAATGGGAAATTAAGTATCATAGGCTAGAACTAAGAGGAGCCTCAATAGTCATCTTAGCCCAGGCTACCCTTTATCACATAAGGAAATTAATATTCATAAATGCAGAACCTGTCTGACCACACAGCCATTTGGTGATGATTGTCTTAGTATTTTCTCATTGCTCAGGCACAATACCCAACACCTGCAAATTAAAAGAGGCGAGGTTTACTTTGGCTCAGTTTGTAGAGGTTTCAATCCATAGTCAGCTGGCTCCAAGGCAGGGCAGCACAGCAGAGGGGACTGCAGGGAGAAAGGCCTCGCTACCTGGCAAGCAGGAAGAAGAAAGAGATCAAGGGAGGAGGAGGGAGATGCACTCTTCCAGGCCACGCCCCAGTGACCACCTCCACCAACCAGGCTTTACCTCAACATCACATTTAACTACAGCTCACACTCCTGTTCTCCATTTACCTCCCAAAATCCCCACCTACAAGTGCATGGGGCTTTAAGGGAGATCTAGATATAAACCATAACAATGGCCCAAGAGAATCTGGCTCTTGTAACTAAATCCAGAGTTTCCCTTTCTATCCCTTCCCCTGTCAGCTGCATCAGAGTCAGCCTAGAGAGGGCTGGTCACCATTCAGTGCTGCAGCCCATCCTGGAGTTTCTGACTGGGTGGGTATGGGGTGGGGACCAAGAATTTATTTTCAGGGCCAGGGATTTAGCTCAGTGGTTCCACCACTTGCCTTGCAAGCGCAAAGTCCCAAGTTCGATCCCCCGTACCAAAAAAAAAAAAAAAGAAGAATTTACTTTCAAACAAGTTTCTAGGTGTCTGGATGCTGATACAACTGCTCCACCCTTTGAGAACCACTGCTTACTCTGTAGTTCATCACATTATTCTCTCAATGTTAGCTGCTAGCTGTAAACCGTGAGTTTGCATTTTATACACAGTATGGATCCCCTAAAATTATTACTAACTATGGCAAGGGTTGAGGAGGAAAGTAATACTGCCTTTATGAAATGTTAGATCTTCTTTTATATTTACTTTGTTGTATTTTTATTTTCATCTGCATACAATATATTTTTGAGGAATAAATAGTATTAAAAGGATTGTGACAGGGCCAGGGATTTAGCTCAGTGTTTCCTTTCCTTCCTAGCAAGCGCAAAGTCCTGAGTTCAATCAATTCCCAATATCAAGAAAAAGAGGGAGGAGCTTTTTGACATTTCTTTGCAATGCTGACAAACACACCCTCACAATTGTTTCTCCAAGTGTTCACCACAAAACTTCTCAATAATGCACTCATATGGTGATTTTTTTTTGCTTGTCAGGGTTTAGAGATGATTAATTTTCTATCATGGAAAGTTAATAAATTAATAAACTATAAGTATTTTGTTCTTATACTTCCTGTATCCAATACTTCCCATCTCTGCCCTCACACAATCTGAGCTTTTGTTATGACTAAGTAACTACCATGGCCTGCACGGCTAAGTAGCACATTTTCAACTGGACATCCCTAATTTTTATAAGAAATGTAACTGTCACCAGTTCTTCCCAAATCTTTCAAGTGCCTCTCAGTAGAGTTTCCACCTAGTCCAAGGACCCAGCTCTCCTGTGAGTTCCATTTGGTTACCAATGGCCCGCCTCTGGTCCCTCCACCCAGGCCAGGCCAACTGCTCTCTGGACTATCGGATACACAGCTGTCATCCTAGAAGTGCCCTTTGCCAGAGTTGAGACCCTTGTTCCACCTCATGGCATCCTCTTTCTATATTTCTTTTCCTACATCACACTCTCTAAGTGCTTCCTGAGAAAAAGTGAATGGGAGGTAAATTTTTAGAGGCATTTGGGTCTAAAAATGCCTCATTCTGCCCTCTCACTTTATTGACTCAGTTTTGAAAGCATGGCTCCATTATTGTTCAGTCGCCAGTGTTGTATGATCCTCAGCAAACAGTTGAGCCTGCTGTGTGTGTATACAGGCATGTGAATGTCACACTCTGTCACTTTCTTGCAACTGATTTGTTTCTCTCTGGGAAGGTTTGGGAATTTTAACTTCATCTTCTGAGATTTCACAGTGATATGCATTGTGGTCTGTGTCTCTTTTTATTCACTTTTCTGGGTACTTTCCTGGTCTTGTTTTGCCTGTGAGTCATTGAATTCTGAATTTTCTTGATTATATGTATGGAAGGGGGCTGGTTGAGTTTTTAAATAACTTCCCTTTCTTGAAGAGGTCCTAGGTAGATGCTCGCTTTCCAAGGCTAACTCTCCGTGTTTATTATTTTGTTTTTCTTTCCTGTTGTCCATCTCTATCTTCTACTTTTGGGGAGATTTCTTCAACTAATTTTCAGTGTTTCCATTGACTATTTCAGCTCTTACTAAGTTATTCAAAATGGTGCCCTATCCTTATTTTGTATATATATGTAATATATTTATGTAGTATATTTTACCTCTTTAAGATATTAGTTATACCTTTAAAATATATATAAATCTTACTAGGCATGGTGGCACACACCTGTAATCCTAGCACTCAGGAGGCTGAGACAAAAGGATCGCCAGTTCAAGACCAGTTTGGGTAACAGTGCAGTCCCGTCTGAAAAAAATAGATCTTTTTCTCTTAGTTTTGGACTTGTCATTTACTCAGTGTCTTTCCCCAGAAGGCTGGCCATCCCTAATTATACTTTAGATACTTTGGTTTTGGTTTGTTGTTGCTGTTTGGCAGTACTGAGGATTGAACTCAAGAACTTCGCACCAAACTATGTCCCCAACCCTTCTTAAATTTTTTAAGTTATGAGATAGAGTATTGCTAAGTTGCCCAAGCTGGGCTTGAACATCACATCCTCCTGCCTTAGCCTTCTAAAGTGCTGGGATTACAGGCATGAGCCACCATATACCATCTGTAAATGTGCAAGTCAAATAACATACTTCACGCGAGGGATATTGGGTAGCAAGTTAATGTCTTAAAGAGGACTCGTTTGGGGCTGTTAGGGTGCTCCAGAAAAGCCTAAACTTAGCTGAGGTCTAGAAGCTGGGGTACCACAGCCCGGGGCCAACCCATTCTTCACCCTACTCCGTGCTCCGTGGTACCTCTGGTTCAGTCTCCGGAGAATGAAGCAGCTCGGGCAGAAAGGGAGCCAAGGCGGTTCCCTGGCTGTGTAGGCTGTCGATGCGGGTCTTCCCGCGGAACCTGTGTGCTACCTCTGCGCACTCGCTCCTTTGTGTACCCGCTGCCTTCCGTTCTTTAGCGTGGCCGGATTCTGCAGTATGTGGACTCTTGTCTGGCTCCTTCTCAGGCCGTCCGATTTGTTGTCATGAGTCGCACCTCACCAGTTCAGCGGCTCTGTCTGTTCGGACTTCTGTGTTTGCCCGGCAACCCTATCAACGGATATATCCTATTTTCCTCTCTGCCCTTGTGTTTATTCTTGTGAAAATATTTCTACTATAATTTTAGTGGAGTGGGGGTTTTTTGGTGGAAATTGGGAACTATCAACTACAAATGCATCCACATTTACCCTGTCTCAAAAAACCCAAATAAATAAATAAATAAAATTTTGAAAATAAATAAAAAAGAGACTCCGTATGGACTTTTTGAAGCTAAATTTCATTGTGCAATAATGAGATATGATCAAAAAAATTTTTTGAGCTAGGTATGTTGGCACATGCCCATGACCCCAGCATCCTGGAGGCCGCAGCAGGAAAATTGCTGGTGAATTCAAGGCCAGCCTGAACTACATGGTGAGACTCTATCTCAAACAAACAAGCAAAAACCAAAATAAACAATTTTTTGTAGTGCATTATTAATGTGTTTAAACCAGTTTGTTGTGAAATGATGTATTTTAATTTGACTATAACTTTAGTAGCTTCAGTAGACCTAGGAAGATTAAAAAGCCTGTTTATGGGGTTAATGTTCATAAATTAATATCACCATTTAGTACTGCATTCACATAGAGCACATTTTCTGATCTCTATAACATTGTTATCGTCTTGTCATTGTATTGGTTTGACATTTTTTATTGCCTTATCCTGGAGGAAATCTTAGGCCAGAACAGTTTATGTTACTATTTAAAGGTATGACATGTGTAAATTAATCCCTAGGTGCTTCCAACTAGTAAAAGCAGCCAAATGATCACCTTTAACTTTACTAACGGAGGCGTGGCCACCATGCGGACCAGTGGGACAGAGCCCAAAATCAAGTACTACGCAGAGATGTGTGCCCCTCCTGGAAACAGGTGAGATGGACACCAGCTGGTATGACTTTCATTCCCCAGACTTCCTACTTGGCTGTGTTTAAGTGCTGACTGCAAATTTTCATCTTTTCACTGTGTAGTTTAATTGGAAACAGTCAATTTTGTAATTTTCTTTTTTTCTGTACCAGGGATCGAACTCACAACCTTGCACTTGGGAGGCAGGCCCGGTGCCACTGAGCCAAATCCCAAGCCCCTCATGGTTGTAAAATTAATAGCTGCATGAGCATACAGGGGAGAGCACTTAATTCTTTCTTAATAGGAAAAGTATATTCCTAATTCCAATACTAATAATAAAACTTGCCTTTTTCTGAGGATTTTCTTTGGTAACTAGTACCAGTGAATTTTTCTCTTTTCCACCCAGAGCCTTCCTGTGTCTCTGATAGAATAAGTTAAAATCCTTGCCACATAAACACCCTTAATAAGCTACACAGGTCTGAGCCAGGTTTCAGGGAGGACAAAGAGCTATATCAGAAAGAGTCTTTGCCACCAAAGAGCAGATGGACTGGTAGCTTCAGGGTCCTGTTTTTGTGCCCTTGGCAAAAAGTATGAGTTGGTCACCTACAGTCATAACGCTTTGAACTTTCACACTCACAGTGCCTGACTTTGTCTTATGTAAGTGCAGAACTGCATACCTGTTGGATACCAAACTAACTGGCACTCCCTTAAGATATGCTGAGAATCAGGACAGTGCCGTCAAAAGGTGTCCAGTAGAAATCAAATACAAGCCATATATGCAACTTACAATTTTCTACTAAATACATTTTTAAAAAGGGAAGACCAACAGGTAAAATTAATTTCAGTGTTTTATTTAACTTAATACAGTATATCCAAAATAGTACCATGACATGTTTAAAAAGTATTGAGATATTTTATCCCTAAAAGGCTTTCTAATCCTTCAAAATCCTTTCTACAATATACTGACAGCATACCTCAATTTGAATATTAATTTTTATTGGATATGCATGACCTGTACGTACATTTCATAAAGTTTACAGAAGGAAAATACAGATTTTGATATCCAAATTATTCCAAACACTGAGTCAAGTATCAGGTTTTTTGAGGGGGGATTGGTACCAGGGATTGAACTCGGGTCCCTACACTTGCTAGGCAGGCAGCAGAACCACTGAGCTAAATCCTCGGCAAGTGTCAGTTTTTAAATTAAAATTTTTGGTGCAAAAGCTCAACCAGTAAATACATAAAGCAGCTCATTTTCTAGGGATTATGTATTACCAGTAGTTTATTGTAATACTACAAAGTCTCAAAGTTTCCATATGGTTAAACGATCGGCTATGTGTTAGATGTCGAGTGGGCTTTCCATAGGCATTCCCACTTAGTGTTTTCATATTTCTGTACATCATTCTTTCAAAAACAAATGTACATCAGTCCAACTTAAGTATATTTTCTCAGTATCTTTGTTCTTTCTTTCTAATGTGCCATAAAGAGTATCTAATATTTCAGAAAACTTTCCTTTATCATAATAACACTGCGTTTAAAGCTCTATGCTAAAGTTCTCACACAGCTTACTGAGTGAATAGTCTATTCAAATGTTTGTTTACAAATTGCTGAAATGATAACTTTGAAAATTAGTCCTGGTGTGGCATTTATTGAAATGTTGCTTCCATTTATTAGGGAGGGTATTAGATTCAAGGTTGGCTGATGAGTACAATTTCCTGGCTTAGAAAGGATATCATGTGCCTACTTTACAACAGTGGTAAAGCCATGACTAAGCTAAGCTTCAATATTATTATACACTTTATATTGTGGATTTAATTTATTAATGGAATGCCGCAACCTACCAGTCATTTAGAACAGAACATCTGCAAATATAAGTTCTGCTGTTTGAAAGTATTTCTGTTGGATGAGATGTCTGTAGTTTTGTCCAGCCTTTTATTTCAGAAAATATCAAACTTGTTGGAATATCAAAATAGTAATGCATGAACCCTCCTACCCTTCACTCCAAGGGTTGACAATATTTTTTCTGTAAAGAGCCAGGAGTAAATATCGTAGGGTTTGCAGGCCATGTGGTTTCTGCTGAAAATACACAGCTCTGCCATTATAGTGCAAAAGCAGCCATATGCATAAAGGAATGGGCATGTTTGTATCCCAATAAAATTTTATTTGTAAAAGCAGATCATGAGGCATTATTTGCTGACCCTAACTTATACCCAGTCATTGCTAACATTTTGCAGTATTTGCTATCAAAAAATATGTAAATTATTTGAAAGTAAAGTGCAGACTCCATGATACCTCACTACTAAATACTTCTATGCATCAGCTAGGATCAAGGATACTCCCTTGTTACCCCAGTGCTACTAAATAAAAGCTGTATCAAGGCAGGGTTCCAATAGAGAAACAGAGCAAGCAGAATATATATATTAAGAGGGTTTTTTTTATAAGGGATTGGCTCTGATTGCGGGGCTGGCTGCAAGTCTGAGTTCCATAGGGCAGGCTGTCCAGAAGACAGGCTAGAGTTCTCAGGGTAGGGATGGAGTTGCAGGGCACAGGTTAAACTCTTCAGAACAATCTCAGTTCTGCTATTAATGCCATTCAGAACCTGAGCCATCCAGATTGTCTAGAAAATCTCCTTCATTTAAATTCAACTAATTATTAACATTAATTAGATTACAGTATACTTCCCAACCACACCAAGATTAAAATTTGAGTAACAGGAAATTGATGGAAATTCCAAATTGCCTGAAAATCCCCCAGATAGCTCTTTTCTTCCAATCTAGAATCAAATTGAGGTCCTGAATTGTATTTAGTTCTTATGTAGCTTATATGGTCTTTCATGATGAGTAGGAAAAAAAAGCATCTAATTACATGTAATACTTTGCTATATGTTTCCATAAAATAATCTACCTAGATACTTTTAGAAACAAGAATTTCTAAACTGGTGAGTGTGTCCTATTGTTTTTTTAAGATGTTAAAAATATTCTCACAATTTAATTTCAAAATGGAATATTTTAGTGATTAAAATAGGGAAGATTAACACAAAACTTTAGCTTTAGGAATGATTGCATCACTAAACCACATACAGTAGTACTGATTTTTTCCTGCACATAAGAAGCACAATGTCAGGAACATTAAACAATATATAAAAAGGAATCAACATGCATATGTGCCAAAGTTAAAAGCCAAACTTGATTAACAAATATGTTGATAATAAATTCTCTCAGTTTTTAGTTTAAAGGTTTTTAAAAAATAAGTATGGATAACTGTTATTTTCTTCAAAGTGTAGTTGACATGTTTTTATAAGCATAATTTCTGTATACAGTGAACCCTTGACTTATGAACTCAGTTCATTCCCAAGGGCTGGCTGTAACTGAAGTTGGGCATTTGAAGCTCAGACTCCTCTACACATCCTTCAAAGCCTCTCTCCTTTAAACAGGCAGATCTCAGTGACCTTAGACACTGGCCCAGGATTTCTCAACCCCATATAGGAAAGAATGTTGTAATGTTCCTTCCAGAATTCTTTAAGGGTGAAATCTGTATCTGAGACTATCTGAAAGCACAAACAGCCAGCATTTGGGTCATAACTCAAGACTTTGTTCATTAAAATTAAACTTTTGGTTGTAACCCAAACTGTTTGTATGTCAGGCTGGTCAGAACTCGAGGGCCCACTCAAGGGTATGTTGCCAGTAAGGATAAAAATAATTATAATTACAATAAATACAAAAAGTAATTACAATAAATAATCACATTTATTGAAATCTTTGTGCCAGGTTCTGTGCTAAGCACTGTACATCTCAGTGACTCTCTAGAGTACAGCAGCTCTCTTGAGAACAGAAAGTCTATCCCAGTTTTACAGATGAGGGATCTGAGCCTCAAGGTGGCTAAGCCACTTGCCCAAGGGCACAGAGCTAGTGTGTAGCAGACCCAGAATTAACATCTGTAACAAAATTGATTGCTCTAGTTGTACTCCTTTTGCAATGTAAAAGTGATATTAACTAATTACTGGGCTTGTCATTTCCGTTCAAATAAACTCTGCACATAAACTTTGCAGATGGCTGTGTATGAAGTAATGGAAAGTACGATGGATTTAGTTTTTCTAATATTAAACTTTTGGTATTTATAGTAACTCACACTAGTAACCAGTTTAGCTGCAAGTCAGTTTTATCTATTACTTCCTTTCTAATTGTTTGCATATAAATTAATGTTTCCTGTATCCTTAAAAACTTGTTTTTCTTAGAGGGATGAATTTCCCTTGATTTACCTTTATACTTAATACAGTTGTGGCAGTTTTGTTCTGGAGGTGGATCAATAAAGGTAAAATGCTGGTGACTCCCATTTCCTGGTGTTTGACCGGCCAGACCTGTGAGGAGCTTCCCTGGCTGTATCCATTCAGGACAGCAAGCTCAGCTTTTGAGAGCTTGAGAACAAGCCTCAGCAGAAACAGTGATAGCTCGGCAGGCTCAGGGCTACACACAGACATTGATGGTGAAAGTTCAGCAGGTTTTAATGGCAATTAGAATCAAGAAAGCTTTCTCCGCTATTAGGTAGAAGCATTGTAGCTCTTTGGGGGATGCAAGGCCAGAAATTGTATTACCTTAAAAATCCCTATGAGAACAGAGATAATTTTGTTTATAATGGGGAAGTTGGAAAAACCTTTAGGGAAAATAATACATATTATCTCATGGGATTTTGGGTTTTTTTTTTTTTTTCCTAAGTCAACAAATGCGTTCCCATGGTTAAGTCACTGGAGTTCTACTTTTTCTAATTTTTGTCCTCCCCTTGAGGTTAAATTCCAGTGTCACTTGGTTAACTGGGGGAAGCATTTAAAATGTGCTCTAGAATAATCCATTCCACTGGATTTTTCCCCCTTTATTTTCCAGTGATCCTGAGCAACTGAAGAAGACACTGGATGAACTAGTCAATGCTATTGAAGAAAATTTTTTCCAGCCACAGAAGTATAATCTGCAACCAAAGTCAGAGTAAAATATTCCATCCTTGAACATAATCACACTTACCACCAGTGAAAGTAATTGGCTTTTTAAGCAATTTTTTGAAGGCCAAATTATTCAAATTATCATTATTTTAAGTATTTATATATTTTAAATAAATCTACATTCTTCATTGCTTTATGTTTTATAGTTAAGGTGACTAAAGAAAAGATGGCTAAACCTAACAAATCAACATGACTGTTAAAATGTTAAACCTGAGCATTGTGTTTTCTAAATGAAGATTTTACAAGAAGCTAACTTTCAAAAACAGGTTGTAATTAACATGCCTTAGGGCTGGGGATTTAGCTCAGTGGTTCCACCTCCTGCCTCGCTAAGCTGAAAGAACCTGAGTTCGATCCCCGTCCCCAAAAAAAAAAAAAATCCTTAATTTACATAAACGTATGTCTACTGTAATTTCTTTCTTTCTTTTTTTTTTTTTTTTAACTACTGTAATTTCTTTCTTTTTTTTTTTTACATATAGTTGAAATAGTCAAGATACCTATGTAGTTACTAAATTCTGAGCTATCATATGTAGGGTAGCCTCATTTTAAGTATATGTACATTTATGTTTCTATCAGTTACTTAAAGTAAAACAAATGAATACATTAAATGTATTCAATGTTTGGGGAAATGTTGAGGAAAATGTGAATCTGGAAAGTGAAATAAAAGATGCTTTAAAAAGATTTTTTTTTTAGCCTCGTTAGTTCTAATAATACTATGTGTTGTACCTATGCTAGGAATAAAACAGCTTAGCTGTCTTTGTTCATTGTATTGAGTTCATTGTATCTCTTTAAACCAGTTAAGTATTTACAACTTGCAAAATACCTTACTCTATTCAGATTTTTAGCAAAATCTGTTCTTTCTATGTCTTCATGCCCATATAACCTTTCAGAATTATTCCACTTGAAGAGCCGGGCATGGTACGGCACACCTGTTATCCCAGCTCTTGGGAGCCTGAAGCAGGAGGATCACTGAGTTCAAAGCCAGCATTGTCTCCATAGTGAGTTCAAGGCCAGTCTGAACTACATAGTGAGACCCTGTCTCAAAAAAAACAAAACAAAACAAACAAATAAACACAAGAAAAGAATTATTCCACTTGAGTTAATACTGAATTTTTCTTTATATATTTTACACATTTTATACAGATTTATTTGTGGGTTTTTTTGTTGTTTTGTTTTTTCCTTGCTGGAATTTGAACTTAGCTTCACACACGTTAGGCACGTATTCTACTACTACACTATATCCCATTTGATTACTACAAACAACCTAAATGATTATTAGAAAAATGAAGATTTACAATATTATTGACATTTATTTGTCAAAAGTAAAGAAAAAAAAAGGTTTTTATACCTTCATGATGCAGTTTATTTCCTACCAGAATTTCCTTTTTAGATAGTCTTCCTATGTAGCCCTAGCTGGCCTTGAACTCTCAATCCTCCTGCCTCAGGCATCTGAGAGCTGGGACTGCAAACGTGTCACCACAACCAGCCCTACCAGAACTCTTAAATCTAGACTATCCAACATATACTATCAACTGTTTTATTGTAGAAGTCATACTTCTTTTAGTTTTATAATATTTTTCAGTCTCAGACTGTGAAAAAAAGAAACATTAGGTGAATATCCTTTCTATAAACTGTTTTGAGTTTGTACCCAGAATGACACCATAATTGCAGAATTTGGGTCTGGAAATACAAAGTTTTTTAAGATCCAGTTCTACTATGATAGAACTCACAGACTACCTAGCAGCTACTAAGTAGATACCAGTTATATCATCTGAGTATCTGCAAGTACTCAGTCTTTAGAAATGTGGGGAGGGGTTCTCCCTGTCCAGAAAAGCCTCACAGATGTAACAATCTGCTTCACCTTCAGGAGCACAAGGAGCAATTGATGATGAAAAAATCTTCCAAGCAGAGTCCAGCATCAACAAAAATGTAGAGGAGCTGGAAAGTTAAGGAGAGGGGATTTGGTGAAATAGAACTCAGATGTAAAATGTTCACATGCACTCTACTTGTTACAGTTTATATTTAGATGTCTCTCAAAGCCTCATGCACTTATATGTGGGACTTATGGGAGGTGGCTGGATGTGGATATGTGATGCTGGATTATGGATATATGATAACTGGGTTGATTCATTCATTGGTTTAGCAAGTTCTGGGTGTGAACTAACAGTTCTGGCTATGGGTGGCCCCAACCAATAGTCTTGTAGCCTGAATGGAATAAAAAGGGAAAGGGAGGCTCCACTGCTTCCTGTCTGCCATGCCAGTAGCTGTTTCTTCTGTGCCAGTCCCCTCCACCATGCTGCCCTGCCCTGGAGGCAGTCAAATATGGACTGAAACCTCTAAAATAAACTAAAATAAACCTTTCCTCCTTTAAATTGTATCAAGTATTTTGTCCCAGCAGTGAGAAAGTAAGATAACTTATCTGCCTCTCATATGAGCAGATAATTCGGTAGGGCCAGAGGGGATACCCCCAACTCTATTTCTCACCCATATTTCTAAGAAATAGCATACCACAGATATGCATTAAGTATTTAACGTCTCCCTGTTATTACAGGATATAAGGTAGCACTCACTACCTAATACACAAATCTCAATTCCAAAAGGCCTCTGCATTTTAATTTTGACCTGCTGTGAACCAGCTCTGTGATCTTGGCCAAGTCACCCTCTCAGTTTTGTCTTTTTTTTTTTCCACTTTTTTTTTAAAGGCATTTTTAGTTTTCTAGCAAAGTGAAGGGGAAGATACAGAGTTATCCATACATCCATACATCCATACATGCATAGGCTTTCCCATCACTGCCCCACCAGAGTATGATTTGTTAGTAGATAAACTTAAACCCATCTTAACCACCCAAACTATAGAGACAGCAGAAAGGTCAGTGGTTGCCAAGAGCCAGGAGGGAGAATAAGATAAATAAGCAGAGCACAAAGGATTTTTAGAGCAGGTAAAATACACTGTCTGATGCAACAGTGAGGGACACATGTCAATGTAAACTGAGTAAGCTCACTGAGTGAGCCCTAATGTAAACTTAACTCTATGTGGTAATTCTGTTATTTTTTAAATGAGGAAATTTCACTACATTATTTTTGAGGTCATTTCATGCTGCAGATCTTTAAATTATGTAGAAGAATCCATGATAGACAACTATGAGCAACATTAAATCAGTAGGAGTTCTCTTTAGCAGAATTAGCCCTCATCTAAGACCTAGCGTCTGAGAGGAAGGGTTAAGATTTCATACCAGAAGGGCCAGGGATTTAGCTCAGCGGTTTGGTGGCCTGCCTTGCAAGCACAAGGACCCCGAGTTCAATCCCCAGTACCAAAAAATGAAGATTTCATACCAGTGAGGGCAGACTCCTGCTTGTAGTTTGCTTTGCTTTGCTGCCTGAAGTAGGTGGACGCTAAAGCTGTGAACAAGCACAACAGAAGCACATGGCATGAAAATGCTGCGGATATATGGCTGTGGTCACCACACTGTCGCACTTGCCCAATCTGCTTACCTGCCTGGGGAAGATCATCCAGTTTGAGTGCAGAGGTGGCACCCATTTTCTCTTGGTACCCAGAAAGGACAAGGCCCAAGTAAAGTCTGCAACTTGACTGGCAGGAGGAAATGCAGGCCAACGTTTTACTTTGCTTCCTTGTGGTTTCTGAAAAAAAAACTGCTGTTCCTCTTTCCTTTAACCATAATTGAGAGGATCTTTCAATTATTTATCTCATTGCTCTATCTCAATCATGATGCTACTCAGGGAAGATAGTTATTTCATTAATAGGAAGTTCCTGTGGTATTAAAAATAAATCCTTTTTTTTTTGGACCAGGGATTAAATTCAAATCCTTTTAAATTACAGAAAAAATATGTGTGCCCTAATTTGAGCATATAAATCATTACTTCCACATCCTAAAAGACAGCACTTTCAGAGCTATTTGTGTGTTCATGCATATGTTCACTAACAAATGAGGTCATATTAAATTCTGGCAGGGCCAGCCACTTTTTTAGATAATGATAAAAAGCGTATGGTCTTGATCTCAAATTTCATCTATAGCCAAGTGTAGTAAGTAGTACATGCCTATAACTCCAGCTATTTGGGAGGCTGAGGCAGGAAGACAGAGTTTGAGGCCAGCATAGGCAACTTGGTGAGAACCTGTCCTTAAAAAAACAGCAAGAGTCATATACATGCCCTCAGATAATAACTACATAACACATAATGTGCTGCACTGTAATAGGCATTTAAACTGAGGGCAAGCAGTTCTGTAATTCTTTTTTTTTTTTTTTTTTGTAGGGGACAGAACTCAGGTCCTTGCACTTGCAAGGCAGGAGGTGGAACCACTGAGCTAAATCCCTGGCCCTTTCCATTTGAACTTGGATTTTTCAAGACTATCAAGTTCAAACTCTTAACACATGTTTAAAACAAAATGACTCTTTGAGAGCATCTGCATGTCATCTCCCTGCACAACTCCTTTGTTCCATTCTTAACGCAAGATTCATATAGAGTATCTCATTGAAGCAAGACATAACACTATTAGGCAGATGGAAATCAGAGTTTAAAGTAACATCAATTCTACTATAGCTTCTCCATCCAAGCAAAGCAAGATGAAGAGTCAGATTAACTGAAGAAGAAGACCTGGAGACAGAGCATTGGTCCTGGTCATCAGGGTGCAGTGTAGTGTTGAGGAATCTGAATTTTTTCAACCTGGCTCCCCTGGACCCTAAAATAAAATTTGAGGGAGAAAAACAAAAAGATGTCAACTCTTTCTCACTTGAATCTAGTTAAGAATTTTAGTGTTTGGCCCAAACCTGGCACAGAATGGAGCTGAGCACACAGACCAAAGATCCAGCTGTAGGTCTGGCTAGCTTTTGAAATGATTTCACAATTGTGTTGTGCAAGTTTCAAAGGGAAGAGGATTGCAAGCTACAGATGACAAAGCCCAATTATAGCCTTAAAATGCGCTGCTCTGAACTCTGTTACCTTAGCTGGAAAAAGAACAGTTAAAAAAATAAAAACAAAAAAATCTATGTAGTGAGAGTGAACAGTCTCTGGTTTAATAAAACAAAAGTGAGCTTCAGGCAGTGGCTTAGGCTTCTCTTCTCTTCTGTGGCCCCATAGGCTTCCTTTATCTCCCTTCTTGACCCTAAAGTGGGTCATCTTCATCCCTTTTTCCTTTTCTTAGTAATTTATCCCAGACTACCAAGTTTGTCCGTGGGGTCTCCCCTACTTTGGATTCTGCTCATGCCTGTCCATGGTATGTTTAACATCTTCCTCTGCACCTTGTGTTTCCTGTCAAGAAGTACAATTAAACTGAGAGCATGATCTGATTCTGGCCTGATTTTCCTTAGCCAGAACAATGGGGTCTGTGGACACACAC